ATATATATATATATATATATATTCAATATGATATATATATATATATATATATATATATATACATATATATATATATATATATATATATATATATATATATATATATATATATATATATATATATATATATATATATATATATATATATATATATTTATATACATTCAATAGATATAGTAGATTAATATATATATATATATATATTCAATATTAAATATAGATATATATATAGATATATATAGATATAGGTGCAATATAGATTGGGGCAGGTGGATAGCAGATTACCTGAGTAAACGTACACAGTCCATATATTACGGAAATAAAAATCTTACAAATTCATCTTTATTTTCTTGTGGAGTGCCCCAAGGATCTATTCTTGGGCCTATACTTTTCCTAATATACGTGAATGATCTCTGGAGAGCGTCAAATATATCAACAATAATGTTTGCTGACGACAGTAACTTTTTTATTCAGGAAAAGATATATCTCAACTTTTCGTACAAATTAACAACGAGTTATATAAAACTTCACTATGGTTCAATGCAAATAAACTTTCTATTAATTCAAATAAAACAAAGTTCTCATTATTCCACCCTATAAAAAAAAAAAAAAATTCCCATTTCTTTTCCAAAACTAGTTATTGAAAACACAGAAGTTAGTCGCCAAAAAGTCACAAAATTTTTTGGTGTTCTCATTGACGAAAATATTACCTGAAATAAATATATAGCATATATTGGCAGCAAAATATCAAAAAGTATTGGCGTTCTATATCAGTCACGGGATTTACTTAATAAGCATCATCTAAAACAAATCTATTTCAGTTTTATACTAAGTTACTTGAATTGCGCAAATATTGCGTGGTATAGTACATCTAAAAGCAAGCTTGAAACACTCTATCGAAAAAAATGCCTTAGGAATAATGAATTTTAAAAATAAAAACGAACATGCAAAACCACTGTTCGAAATTATGAATATTTTTTACGTTATACGAGATAAACGTTTATAAAATTTTATGTCTTATGTACAAAAGTAAATTTCAACAATGCCCCTCATTTTTTAATGATTGTTTACCCGGTGTAAACAATATAAATTGCATTCAAAAACTAATAAAAAAGAATATTTCGAAGTATACAAATCTTATTAATGATTTCTTTTAAACTGCTTTGTTTTTTCGTTTGTTTGTTTTTTTATTTTTGTCTTTTTACATTGAAAAGTATTTGTTTTTAACACTATTTACCTTAGTTAATTAAGTTTTGATTTTAAGACTATTATAGGAATTTAATATTGTAAAAACATAATTACAACGGTTCTTGATGATAAGACTTAATTGTCTTCTGCAAATTTCCCGCGTTTTTATTTATTTTTGTATAACTAACTCTTATTATTTTGTATTTAATTTTTTTATATTTATAACTGGTTTATTTTTGAAAAAATAAGAGTATCTGGTATTATAATACGGAATTTAATTGTAACAAAAACGGAAAGAAAAAAAAAAAGATAAAGTAATCAATTCTCCAAATGTAAACAACTTTAAAGCGAGCCTCGATACGCTCCAATGTTCACAGCTTACAGCTTACAGCTCACAGCTTAGTAAAGATTCCAATATGAACTTCACAAAAGGTAACTGTAATCTGATAATCTATGATTTGTATTTTTTCAGTTATTGTAAGTATCAAGGTGTTTTTTTTTTCATAAATTTGTTAACAAAGAATATTAGACTACAAGCATGTAGCCAAGTGGCAAACTTTAAACCAAAAATATCAACTGAAAATAAAAAATATGCCAGAAACAGTAACCAATCATTCAGTCGAATGCATAATTCAACAAGGTGTAAACAAATCAATACAAGCATTGGGCGGTGATTGAAAAAATATGAAATATTTGATGGTGAAGGGGGAGGTGTCATAAAGTCTGTTTATTCAAAACTTAATAAACGGTTGCACTGGCTTAAATGCGCTCTTCATATAACGAGCAGCCTCTCAGACTTCTAATAACTGGTTAGACGGAAAAAACACTTTCAAACAATAAATGGTCTGGTGAATCAGAAAAACTGCTGTATTTGGTAACAAATCAGGATGCCAAAAAGAACATTAAAAATATACTTTTAAGTGGACCTTTTATTTTTTTGACAGACAAAATACTTTATGATCTTTTAGCTAATTAGGTTTACGGATACAGAATTGTAACAGCAGTAAAATAAACTTTCAATTAGGTCCTGTTTCTTAATCCAGAAGGCTCACTACAGCAAACAGTTTTATAGGTTATGGGTTTGAATTCATTTTCTAACCGAAAAAACTTTAGAAATTTAAGTTTAATTAGTAAACTTATAACTGATTTTCCTTGTTGGTTTCAAATAAAGCTAAAGCCTTCCTGGTTAGATAGACCTCGGCATATTTTTTCTTAAAGAAACAACATGAATATCATAAAAAAGAGGTTGTTGGAATAGTATGGACATCTGGAAGCATCCAGAAGCATCCAGAAGTATTCAGAAACATTCAGA